AGTTGACTGTCCTAGTAAATCTGCCAAATACCTATGAATTACGTGAGCCTGGTAGTCATCTAGTGGATTCTAGGTGAATTACTTCGGAAATTCTGCTTGGGCAGTCAGCTTACTGTGTCAGATTTGGTGGATTCCAGACGTTGCAGTAGGTTGGGCGGGTAGCTTGACCCAAATGTGATTAAACTCGCGTCATCCGGCGGGGCCTCGTAGCTCAAGTGGTTAGAGTGTTGGCGAGGGAAGGGAAGTCATCCAGGCAAGCGAGTTCCGATTACAGTGAAAGTCTGTCGGGCGTGGTTAAAACTGCAATGCGTGGGACAGCAGTCAGCCGTGTGGGGGAGAAAATCAAAACTCTGTAAGCAACTTGATCACGTGATCAACCTCGCACTGCCATGTTAAGGATCGATAATGGACATACACCCATTGTTATACCCCTCCTCTCAATTCCCCCCCCCCCCCGGCATGACTGGCTGCTGTCCCCCGCGTTGCAGTTCTAATCTCGCCCGACGGGTTTTCACTGTAATCTGAAATCGCCTGCTTAGATGACTTCCCTCCCCCCTCGCCATGAGCAGCCGCATACCAGATCAGCAGCCCGAATTTTATTTTACCTATCAGGTTTCACCCATGTAGGTCGATCTCTGATTGAACAGTTTATCTTGTCTTACAAATACGAACTGACCGTATGTAGTTGAATAAGAGGGAACGAGATTTCCGGACGCCATTAAGCCCTGTATGTCTCATCGCCTTTGCCTTGTTCAAATTTATTCCTGAAAACAGAGCTCCAGTGTACGCCATTTATTGGCGCCTCTAAGCTGGATTTGCTCGCGCACTTGGCTACCCACAAACATGCACACAGACCACCCCAGAAGCCAGGTCTGCCAATTAGCATCAAACGGTACACTTGGTTAGTGAGGCATTGCATCTGTCACGCCAGTTTAAGTTATGGCAGACCCTAGTCACTGTGATCTGAAGGCCCGATCCCAAACAGAAAGAGGAGAGGTTGGACGCCAGTAGACAGGTGACAGTATTCTGCGCAGAAAGATTGCAGAACGGATTAAAACAGGTTCGCAGCCCGACAAGGGGACACGTCCGCCGGCCCAAGCGACAGTGGGGAGCCGTCACAGCAACTTGGGCGTGCGCGTCTGAGTCAGCCATAAATCTGATTGGTCCATGTGGATAGCTGTGATTGGCCGAGGACCAGGCTGGCATCAGTACGCGTGAGGGGCGCAGCGATGCAACAGTCACTCGGGCTAGGGCCACTGCACATCTCTACCCGAAGTAGTTGCCGCCTCGAGTTTGTCCCGTCCTGTCCTGGCGCCGCGTGGTGACAAGTATTTTCGGCGCTACTGCACTGTGATTCTCATCATCGGCACTCTGCCACAGCGCGATTCCCACCCCAATTAGTACCCTCCAAAAAGCAGAATCAGATCTAAAATATGTCGTCTGTATTGCGAAATTTGAATTCGTGTTAAGTAATGACAGTTAAGAAACAAATACTTCTTTAATATTGTGTAGGATTGCCACCAAGTGGTCTTTATCTTCCGAAACACGCCAGCAGTGTTCATCCAAGTGCCCCGAGAGTAGTGGGTGCGAACCTGTAGTTGGATAGAAGTAATTTCCCTGGTGATTGATGGTTTTCGAATCGTACCCAGACTGATTAAGTCGCCGATAAGCTGGCCACTCGTCAGAATGTATTGTTGAACCTGCTTCTAAATCGCGTTCACTGATAAGGATCAACGTCACTGTGTCTCGCTTGTGTATTTAGTATCATTCAACATCGATAACCTGACAAATCCAAAGGACCATTTATCATCAATGCGTGAGGCGTGGTTCTGACAATTCTGTGCTGGATCGTATTCCTCGGTAGGCGCATCTCCGCCTAAAAGGCGACCACAATTGTACTCATGGTGTCCTGGAAATCTAGCCTCGTCGACCTGTACTGGGCTTTCCGTTCTGGTGTTCCGTTCAGCCTTTCTCGCCTAACGTGAGGTACCATTTCGGAGCAGACTTCCCGGCAGTAATTAAACCAGTCAACTACAGTATTTGGGGACTGGCGCTTCCTGTGGCATACTGGGGCTCCAGAGATAAACTAGCTCTAAAATTTCGCAGTTTCAGATTGCAGTGGAGTCCTCCGTTCAAGAGAAGCTCTTTCACTTTATTACTGATCGAACGGACTGGTAACCCTTTCTTCTGCGCCTACATACAGGCACATTATTTTTGTTCGCGAACATCACCGGTCCACCGCACTTACGGTAATATTTCTCCTCCATTAAGAGACCCCATCAGAGGAGATATCGTGACGTCGTTTCTTCATTTTGCATCGCTCCAGTATAAATCTCCCGTAACAGCACTTTGAAAGGAATGCTGAAGTAGGAACAAAAAATGAAGGTAGGAATCACGCTTTAGTAGAGCCTTACTGCTTCCGACTGTACGCAGTTGGGTTACCTGACACGAAGACATTGCCGAAAGGGCGGAGATTGAAGGACGGACCTCACAGATAAATCTCTTCAAAGGCAAGAAGGGTACGCGCACACACACAGAGACAGGACCACACCCGCGGAGGCCGTCTACACCCAGGCCTCGCGAGCGCACTGCATATGCGAGACATTCTGTGGCGTATCTAGGGTCGGTTTGTCGCTGCTTAAAGTCCTGGTGGGTACGCGTCCACCCAAATGCAGGTACTAACGAGTTGCTGGCACCATTTCGTACCTGTTTGCCCCACCCTCCAGTTCTCTGCCAAGTCTCCGTGAAAGCGGGGCGGCCGGGACACGTTACGCGAGGAGGAATGATCGATCAATCATCGCTGCGGACGAGCACGCAACGTATGCACCGCACTGCCTCCTTGGTGCCTCCTCATTTACATCTAGAAATGAATCTTTGTCGGAGTTGCAACGCCCTCTTTCATGCCAATGACCTCACGAAGTCACGCCTTTGATAAGACATTTTTAGCTCGACTGAAATCGCCGAAAATTTGTTCTCTTAGTTATGACTGCCCATCAGATCAGATCAGATCAGATTTATTAAGGGAAAAGTAGGCGAACGCCTTTGAACTCCCTTTTGGTTACAATAACGTCATAAAAAACAATGTGTAAGGCAAGTGTGAAAAAAATTAGGTAAGTAATTACATACAACAAGCATTGGTCACTGGTATGAGTTTGTCTGTGAATGCCTTCTGTGTCAAGATTGTACAATATCCAGTACGGCAATGAATGGACCAAGTAATATCAAAGCAAGCGCATATGTGGCGGTCAGGAGATAGCGAAAATTGTAAAACGTAATGTTACTAAAATATAGGGAGTAGCATGCTTTGTAACATAAAACGTTGGATGGGACGGGTGGCACAGGGGGGAATTCGTTAGTTCCTGATGCTGTGGAGGTACATATCCCTGTTCTGGTCAAGCTTTCTCTTAAATGAGTCCACGGATGAGGACATGACGACATCCACAGGTAGGGCGTTCCATGCCTTTACCACTCTGTGGCTGAAGAAGGACCTTCTTGCGTCCAGTCTCGCTCCTGTCAAACGTAGTTTCAGAGGGTGTCCTCTCAAGCTAGTAGTGGTGGCCAGCTCAAAGAAGTCGCCGGATGCGAGGCAGCAGTTCTGACCCCGTAACATTCTAAACGTTTGAATTAAGTCGCCACGGAGTTGTCTGTAGTCCAGGGGAAAGAGGTTAAGATTTGAAAGTCTGGTTTCGTAAGGTAGGTTTTTATGACCTCTGACAAGCTTGGTTGCCCGTCGTTGGACTTTTTCGAGGGTGGTACGATCCTTAACAGTCCAGGGTCTCCAGGCCTGAATGGCAAATTCTAACTGTGGGCGCACAAACATCCCGAAGACCTTGCGGAAGCACTCTTCATCGAACTTTGCAAATGCCCGCTTAATGAGATATAAGCTGGACATTGCGGATTTTGCTGCTTTCAAGCAGTGGAATGATGGCTTTAGTGAAGATGTTATCCACACCCCTAGGTCTTTCTGAACCTCTACCAGTGGCAGCGGTGTGTGATTTAGATAGTACGTCTGCCGGTGCGCAGAGCTGGTTCTGCCAATCCTCAGAATGTTGCATTTGGTAACATTAANATGGCAGAATGAGTGAGTTCCGTAGAAATGATCGGTGAGCGTCCGCTCTACTATTGTATATTCCCGATCGCAACCGACAGGACAACGGGCCCGTGGCCCAGTGGTTAGAGGCGTTGGAATTCTAACTAACAGGTCGCAAGTTCAAGCCTCGGGTGTTGCACACTACGGGGTTGGGTGTGACTGGCTGACGACGGCTAATAAGCCAGAAATTGTCATTCCAGTTCCCCTTGTCTTTGTCAGCAATATCATTCTACACTGTCATTTGCGCTCGTCGTGATTCAACCTAAGCAGATAGGCCAGCAGGTGACAAGGAACACGCCAACGAGGTGGAAAGAACGTACTCGTAGTCGTCAAGAGCGGAACGCTGCGTCACGGCCGGAGACACGTCTACCTGTGGCAATGTCAAAATAACTGGTCGAGGGGACGACTACAGGGCTCAGGAAGAGGCTGGATGCCTGAAATGTAAGCTGAGCATCCGGAACTCGTTGGATGGTCCTCCCGGATTCTGCACGCCTCCTCGCAACCCACAAGACCGCAAAGTCCAGGGAAGACACGCAAACACGAGCGCCAGGAGCGGCGATGAAGCGGCAAATACCGTCAGTGCAAGCGTGCTGGATAGTTACACTACAGATATCGACAACCGCCTGAGCAACCGTCCAGGATCATGGTTGATGTGTTACGCCAGGGCGAGGAGATAAAAATTGTAGCAACTGTACCCACCCTCACGCTACCCCAGATGGATGACCTTTGGTCCGCAGTTTGCCATCGCGGCTATGAGTACCGTTAACACCAAAAGGTGTGAAAATGCAACCAATGAGGTCATACTTCCTTTCTCCCGTCAGCGGAAAACAGGAAACACTCTGGTAGAGAGATCATTTATCTAAAAAAAAACACGGACAGGATATTTACACTGTATACGGTATAAACACCATCAAATTCCCTCTGGAGCATCCTCCTCTGGACTTTCTGAATCCTCGGGACCAAAAGAGGATTCTGAATCTCGATCTTCTTCCTCGTTGTTCGAGCTATCCACAACTGTGCTACCCTGTTGTTGTCTGGAGGTGTTGACACCTTCCTCCTGATCGTCCGCTGTGTCGTCTCCTTCGGGGGAGAGTCTGTGTCTCAGAGCTGATTTGGAGGCTCTCGGTCCGGCACGCCTGCGGAAAACAGGACCGGACACTCTGTTGGGGTCCGCCTCCAAAGTTTGTCCTTGCTCATCCTCAGGCGCCCGTCCTCCCTCTTCCTCCTCGTCGTCCGCAATAAGGCCGAACGAGGAAGGAGAGCGGAGAGTGGCCGCACAAACATCCGATTCCACATTGACATCCAGTCGCGCTTTCTTCTTTCCCCGCGTCGGTCGGAAAAGGATACGATCGGGACGTGTAACCTGCTCCTGTCCACCCTCCCCCTCTCCGGCCAGCTCACGGCGTCGGCGTAGATCCTGAATCAGTTGGGCAGCCACCTCACGGTTACTCGCTGCATCCTCGTCCACATCAGCCAGGCTGTAGTAGGTCCATTTAGAGGAGTCTCTGTGAGGGTCGGCCGGTCGTCTGACCACGGCTCGTCGGCGATACGCAGCTGCGGAGGGTGGGGCTGGTACTCGAAAGGTCGCATCTACTCCGGCACGTCCTTGCTTGGCACGCGCTTTACGATCCCTCTGAGCAGCAACAAGAGCGGCAAAAGCATATTTGGTTTAAACATTGTTACTTAAATGAATGTAGTAGGTATGTATTTAAAAGAGAAGGTTAGGTTGGTTGGACTGACTGGATCAGAGAAAACGCCATATTCGAACACCAAGCAGGCATTCGGAGAATAATACGGAACTTAGGGGAGACCCGAAAACCAAAGGCCGAGACGCAAAAGAAGGTCCTGGACCAGACACATTACGGGATTCCTACCGTCAGGTAGTAAAACGACACAAAAATGCACACCGAATTCCTTGTTTGACAAAAGTCCAGACAAACGAATCGCCAAAGACAGCGAGAAATAAATGACGTGGATGCCAAGGCAGGGGAGCAATGTCATGGTTTCTGGATGCAGAACGACTCCGCGGTGCCATTATCGGGGCGAAACAATCCATAGGTGACAGCGGAGGGCAAGAGGTCAGTCTAACTACTGACCTGTTTCCCACCACTTTTAGTGGCCCGATATGCCACTTTTGTCAGTCCATTCACGTCGGACGGAGCAATAGTTTTGGTCACCTTATTTTTGCCCAATGTCCGTCTGAAGACCAGAAAGTCTATGGTGCCGGAACAACGCCACTTAATCTGCTTCATTTAACAAGGAAGTCAAGGCTGAGTGCACAATTTGAATCAACGAGGGATCTTCACTAAACCATATCTGAATTTTTTTCCGATCCCACGAGTGCACTGGCAAGGCATAAAATCAAGACTTTTGTGTTTTTGCTAAAAGGTACCTGCGAGCAATACCAGAAGGGGGTTTTCGACAGCAGACGACATATCACTGCCGAGAGTCTTCAATGGCATTCAAATCCACTCACATGAGCTACATTTATTAGACTCTGCGGCATATTGATGAGCTTGCTTTCGAGGTTCTGAACTTGGTGGGGGGCATTATCGTCTATCAATAAAATCGGGCTACTGGGATATTAGTTTAGTTGGCCTCAGATTCTACGGTATGACGAACCAATGCCATCTACGACCTGCGATCAATGGCTAGGCCCTCGGCAGTCGTTGTCTGCTTGAAGTTTCATTCCAGAACACCGAAGACCAACTGCCTAGCAAATCCACAGGCGATCAATGCGACGGAGTTCAGGGATGACGCTGCAGATGAGCGTGGCTGTGCCACCCGAGAGGGCATCTTTACATTACTTCATCCCTAGGAAGTATCTCTGCTCGGCGATAGAATTCCACGTCCGAGATATGAGCTGTGAGGCAAAGCCGATCGCGAGGCACCAGTTGCCAAATACCTTGATTTTACTAAGGCAGGCAGCGCACATAAGTCAGAGTTCGCCAGCATGCGGCAGAACGGCTTCGACAAGTGCTCTGATTTTTCTTCTGCTAAACTTTGTGGAGGATGACAGAAACTTTCAGGGTCAGCAGAACATGTTGCGGTAACAAACATTTCTCGTGGTCGTCGACATGAGAGATTAGCGCCGATTAATTCTGGCTGATAAGTAGTTCTGCCTTTGTGTCTACTGTGTCTTGGCTGAGTATCCAGTCCAAGCAATGATGCCGCTAAGCAAAAGCTCGTGACTCGTTAATTCAAGACAACTGCGCTTTTTAACTTTCCAGAAACTCAGGCGTAAGAAAGTTGCTTTGCATCGAAAATCGTGAAGGCAGAATGATTCGGGCGGAGTGAATTAAAAATCACACCCCTGAGACGTAAGCGCAGTCGAACAGTCATTACAGCATCCGGCCGATATCTACTTTTGGTGACTTGCGACTGCACTTGCCCGTGAGACTGCCGTAGACCCGCCACCTTAAAACCACGCCTACGAGTGGCTTATAATGCGGTAAAGCCTGGTTTAAGCCACAACCGGCGGATGCTACCGTCACGCCGATTCACGATAGCAGAAGTGCCTGGTCATTAGAGCAGTCTTGCTGGTGAGCGCGCGCACACTTCAGTGTCCCGCGGTGCGTTTAGCGTCAATAGGTAAAATAACGAGCAATGAGTCTGCAATCCGTCGTAGAAAGTTTATTTTTCGAATTGTCTGAGCTCAGCTTGACGACATAGACAACAATTACACGCATTTGTGTAATTATGCCACTAAGTCGCACACGACCCGACGCCACGAGCGGTCGGTTCGCTTTCTGATGAAAAGGAAATACATTTTTATGCCTATTGGAGGTCTAAAACCTCAGTTTGTCAGAAATGGAGGAAAGTACTTTATCTAAGAATGCCACAACAGGCGCAGATAACCGAACCCCCGATAGACTGGATTAGAGAAGATGCGTATAGCCGGGGATTTTGTGTAACTCCTTGCAGACAAATGTACCGGTTGAGAACAAGAAGCTCCTCACTTTATAGAGGAATGCCGGTTTGCATAGCTGACAACGGGCCCACCCAACGCATCCAAACCGGCAAACGCCACAGGATGAGTTGAGTTTTACAAATCATAAGCTTTCATAGAAACCAGAGGTTAGTGCATACAATAAGTCTTGTCCAACCTGAAGATGAAGCCCCGATCTGCAGAACAAGCGCAACGGAGAAAATTTCACTTGGTAGCGGGTAACATTAGACCTTTTCAGAGGAGAACTATTCGTCAAGATTGAGGGTAGTACTGCTGTGTGGTTTGATGCGAATTATTCCTGAGACACAGGTGTTTCCTTTGCTCACGGCAGGCCTCTGCACAGATTAACAGACGGATCCTGTCCTCTCATAGTCGACAGAAGCACGGCTAATGCTAGTTGAGGCAAGTGGGTGTTTCATCTATGCGATACATATAAGAATCCAATAAATTCAGTTGGAAAAAAGGGAACCAGAGCATGCAAGGCAGAAATGTAGCCGGTAACATTACCCACCGCCTCCTTCTCTGCTTCTAGGGATTCAACCGCCGGCTTAGTTTCTCGCCAAAACTGTTGAACGTAGAGTCGTTCAGACGCAGTTTCTTCCTCCACTTTACGGTGGGCGTCCTCTAGGGCCTGCAGATTACCAAAAATGTCCGCCTGACGTTGGCTGAAAGAACTGCTGGAGCCCTGCAGGGCGAAGCCGCCAATTGGAGATTCGCTACTCTCTGACATCTGAAAACGAAAAGTGACTTCACAGCAAACAGAATGGTAGTAAAAAAGGAAAGGCGCCGAGCAAAGATAGATAACTTGACGGAATAAGGTGGAATCTTCGTCGGGTTAATAGTGGAATAAAAACGCAAAGAAGGTGTTGCTGAGAGAAGGTGAATAAGTAAAAGCTGGCAATGAGACCGCCAACAGATGTTGTTGACTTCTGTCTCTCCTGTAGAGCTGGAATTGGGCAGAAAGTGGAGTAACCGCTATCGGCGGTCGTGGTTTATAAGACATGACAAGGATTGTCTGTCAAACTCGAGGTCTTATAACCAAATGCTAAACAGGAGGACTTAAACTGGTCTTAAACTAGTCTGGTTTAGCATCTACTTGATTGAATTGTGATGGACTTCTTAAGACTAATACCACTATAGGTCAGAAGTCTTTTGCCAGGCGGGGGTGATATGTGTCTAATTATACGGAACATCCATTTTTAATAGGGTTTGTAGTTTCCCGTCTGACTTAGGCGTTCGCTTTGATGGGTTTATTTGCTAAAGTCAGAGTTGGGCTAACGAGGACGTAGTTAAGTGCATAGCGCGGCAAAATAAAAACTTTCACTAGGACATGGGGTCGTCTAACTAATTTTAATGAGCAACTTAGGACGACCCACATATCAAACTACATAGCTAATAAGAATACTGGGGTAGTCGTTCACAGTTCGACCGTACTTCAGAAGCCGGCAAGTCCAAGCAAACGGACCGATAAGTCGACTAAGTCCGAGATAAAACTTTCAGTGGAAATTCATGTACGAAATGAATTGTCTGACTGTTGTCATGCGTTGACTCATGGTAATTTTCAGGGCGCACTTTGACTGCGAGCGTCCACAATATATCGCCTACCGTTGACCGGCATTGCAGTGAAAAATCTAAGTAGGTATGAGTACAGAAAGTCCGGTCCTCCAGCTTCGTTGAGCTAAGAAAAACTCTTGAAGCTCTCAAATCCTGTGTAGTGAGGATGGTCCTACGAGGAAGCGCGCGAGTCTAGTATCCAAACCGAGCACAGGCCTGTTCCACTAATGGGTAAGGAGTCAAGGGCACGAAGAGCAGGCGATACAACGACTGACGATCGAAAAAAGCGGATAATGACACTTAGGGCAAATAGAGGAGAGATGAGAACTGGCGGAACATAAATCAACTACCTGTTCGATTTAGACGGTGACAAAAACACCACAGGACGGTAACTAACCAAAAAGGGGGTGAAGGTGGGCAAGCAGCTCAAAAAGGGTTGGCTACGGAGAACTTGGTTCTGGAGCCTCATATAAATTGTGGCGAGTGATGATAGTTTTAGGTAGGAGGGATAACTAGACTTTCCATTTATAAAACTGTTTCAGAGACTAAAACTGGGGGATGAGTTTGGCCGATCGTGTTCGACTGAATCGGTCGACCGCACTACGTATGTCCCATTACATTTCCAAAGCATAATTACTGTGACATCTGATGCAGTTGAAGCTATTCTGGAAGGAATTTTGGAATTAACAACTGTGTCTGTGTGCAGACTCGAATTGTGGCCTTTTGCACCCGATGATCCTTTCTGTGTCTGTAAGGTATATCTCGGGAAGTTTTTTACGGTAAAAATGTCCAGTAGTCCGATGTTTTATCTTAAAACAGAAGCTGCGGAGTGACGTGAAACTATGGCGAGCAAAATAGCAGGAGTAATAGTCATATTATTCCTAAGTTACAGCTTCCATATCAGGGCAGTTTACAAAATCAATGGGCGCAGCTAAACGACGGACGCCGTACGTAGAACCCGGCTGGTGGAGTGGTTATGGCGGTAATCTTGAGCAATATGATAATGGCGAAAGTTTATACATGGTCGTGCATAAACTCGGGCTTTGTCAGGTTCACAATTAAATGTGATCAGTACTGACCATTAATTGGTCAACATATCCATTGCAATGGACTTCCTGTATAAATTTGTCCAGGATTATGAAAGTCAGGTAACACTTTGTAGAAGATATCAGAAACACAAAATGACAAAAAATACAAGTTTGGAGGAGGTTTAAACGACGAACTTTCAATTTGAAACTTACTGTCAAACGGGACACGGCTAAACACACAAGCACCAAAGGTCTCAGCGGAAAGCCAGAGTACCGATAGCAAACGGGTAGGTTTTCCTTGCTCGCGTTTATCAGTGGCTTCGACTTGTCAGAGAATAGGCTGGATCTCTGAGTTTGAATTAAATAGCTATACATAGAAAACGATGAAGTACAAAATCAGTAGTATAAATAATAAAGGAAGAATTCGAACTGTACTCACACGGGTCAAAGCATCGAACAGCGTCCAGCAGGGACATAGTGGAAGCCGACGTATTTTGGAGAGGGGAATTCGCTTTAATTTGAGATAATCATCCCGGAATTTTCGCCAAAAACTCTTATTTCACCACTGTCTGAATGAAAGTTAATTAATAACAGACATATTGGTTTACACAAAACTGTAACAATAATACGTGGACATTTTGAATCTCATTTTCCGTATTAACAACTTTCACGCAGGTTATCGTGACAAAGTTATGTCGATGTACGACAAGATCTATGTCGGTAACCACTGTCCATGCCGTGTAGGGGTCTTACAGTAGTCATTTAAGGGTGGGGGAGAGTGGACAACATCATCTAGATCTCAACTGGCAAATGGATTGACCGTAGTGAAATGTCGTTGTGAAAAGGCACCAAATAAGAGACACACATAAACTTAATGGAAGTGGCAGGTCTCCTTATATTTTTAATTGACGTTTTCATTTTCTATTCCTAATATAACCCTTTCTCCACGAAGCACACTTACGATTTTGGACGTCCGATCCAATCACATTTGCATGAATTCTGCCGGACAATGACTTCCTTCGCGTGGGCAAATGCACATCATGACATCGACCGACCGTCGCACTCGAACGCCTACTGTCACTCACTTCTCCGATATTTGAGTGGAAACCATTGTCGTGGTCTGCATATATCACTGGACTCCCAACCTTTCTGTAGAAGTCACCATTACCACTGACCGCGGAAGCCACTGTCAATCATGTCTCTGCAATAGGCGCACCAACCTGTTGTGTGGGGCGCATATACAAATCCTAGCATATTACTCTGCCCTGAGTGGCCTTACGGAGCGTCTACACTGTCAAACCTCACAGATGTTCCACCCACACTCAGCTTCTTGGAATGGTAGCTTCCTCTTGTGTTATTGGCTTTTCGATCCTCTCCCAAAGCGCACATTCTATGCACCAGTGCCTTACTCTTGCGCGATCTATCACCCCACCAGGATTCCAAATACTCATGCACACCAGTTGAGACAACGCATGGTTTAATTTCGTCCAACCGCCACCCGTCCAGCGCCCAAATCCGTTTTTTGTGCACGAAAACCCTATATCTGTTTTTGTCGTTTTCTTTAGGCGGGACGCAGTTTGAAAGCACTTACAATCTCACGTACAAAGTTTCCGAACGGATGGACATTTGTCACTTTTTTCAAAAGACCGCAAAGACTAGCACGGTCCAAGACAGACTAAAATCCAGTCTTTGCTGAATGCATTCCATCGTCCGTTGTGCCATCTGATTGCCTCACGTCAGCATCACATGATTTAACCGTCTCAGTTCCCTCCATTCAATTAACAAACGCAACCGCTCAATCCACTTAACACAATTCACGTTTTCAATCACTAGGCATTTCGTTTCGCTCTGGAAGATGCATCTATTTTCTGCCCAAACTTAGAGCCTTTGTGGTGCAAACTCTTGCTACTGCATTGGTATGCCTTGTATACATCAAACGCTCTGTTGGGAGATTTGTGTAGGCTCGTGCGTGTTCAAATGCTGTATCTTCATTTTGCACGGCAAGGAAGGGCGTGTAGCGGACCCAGAACCAAGCCTTGAGGTACGCCACAAGTGATCGAGTGAGGTGTCTAGTAGCTGTTACCTACCATGACTTTCTGATAGTGGATGGATAGGCAGGAGTCGAAGAAGTCGTGTAGGGGAGGGCGAATGTCGATAGCTTACAACTTTACCAAAAGTTGGCTTTGCTAAGATCAAAGTAGACAACTATGACTAACTGCTGTTCACTTAGAAAAGTAGTCATTGGATTAAGAAGGGCTGAGTGGCAGGTTGGCAAAATCCTTCAGGTAAAAATCCATGCTGAATAGAACTAAGATGCTGTTTAGATAGATATGTGTGAAGAAATTCATTGAACATAATCTTTTCAAGGAGTGTTGTTAGAACCGAGGTTTCTGCACGCCCCGATAGCTATTGACGTAAGATCTGTCGTCCGCTGGTTGTCGTGTAGCGGCCGAGGACGTCCAGGATGACACACACAGAGTACGCATAGCTCTGGAAATAGACCCTGGCTAGACCTATCTGATTGGAGTCGTTAACACGTCTCAGTACCCGTCCATACAAAACTGAAGAAACGTTAGGTAGGAATAGAAGTATAAGGGAAGAGGTGAGAACTGGGAATAGATATAATACTAACTAATTGCACAAACGGAGTAGGAAACAAAAAAGGGGTGATCTATCTGGATGGTGATGTACGCTGGCATGCCTGATGAACAAGTGGAGGGAAGTGCAGAACCGTGAGCAACTGCAGGGAGGGCCGAGAAAGGTGCCGGCGTAGAGAGAGAGAGAAAAGAACGTTACGGCAAGTTGCGGGGAGTGGGTCGGGGGAAGAAAAAAGGAGGGACACCGGCCATTTTAACCGACACGCAGCTACACTCTCATCATCCTAGGTCTGCCAGGAAAATGTCACCTCAGTCAATCATTTCTTTACAGTTCGTGCGGCGTTTCGGCCGATCGTCAGTTTATTTGGGCAATTGCTTAGGGCTGGTCGTATCGTTCGTTTGTATCTCCCAGAAGGCTTATCAGATTTGCCTGGATTATCATCTGAAAAGGAGGAATATAAACCAGGAGCACGACACATTCAATAGTAAGTCACAACCAAAGATATCAAAACAGTTTTGAGTCAGGTTTCATATTGCTACTGATATGATGA